ATAAAACCCAAGTGAATTTATGTTAACTTTCTTTTCAGAAGCTCGAGAAAACTTCACATCCCCTCCTCTGGGATATCTCACACCAAGGTTAGGATTTAGGAGTTCTGTTATGATTCCAAGTTTCTCCTAATTATTTGTGTCGTGCCTCCCAATACACTTGGGCTTTATGTTCCTACTTTAAGCAGTTATTTTCTTACAACATCAACTTGTGAACAAAATGTTGTAATTAACACCATGAAAGTTAGTAAGTTTTTAAAAACTTCCTAGTTGACTTTTATAGGTATAATCAAAACCATCCAAAATAAAGGGCTATACTGTCTAAGCCAAAGCAGCTTCTAGGGTGCTGGTAATATTCCATTTTTTTGTTTTTACATCACTTCATTGATGTATGATTGACATACAAAAAGCTATACACATTTAATGTATACAATTTGATAAGTTTGGAGATAAATAGACATCTGGGAAACCACCACAGTCTATGCCAAAAACATATCCATCACCTCCAAAACGTTCCTCCAGCCCTTTTAATTTATTCTTATTTTATATGTGGTATTAAGAACACTTAAGATTAATCTTCTTAGCAAAACGTTGAGCATCCAATACAGTACCACTAGCTATAGGCACTATGCAATACAAACCTCTAGGACTTAGCTGTCTTGCATAACTATTTATGCACACTTTGTGAAACTTGGGATTTTTAGACTTTATGTATATTCTTCTTCAAAATATAAATTTGTGAAAAGTATGGGTGTGATATTGTGTTGTAAGAAAACATAATAAAAGTAAAAAAAAAACAGAGAAGCAAAAAAAAGAAAGAAAAAATATATATATATATTTGATAAAGAATGAAATATTGCCATTTGTAACAACACAGATGGAGCTAGAGAGTATTATGCTAAGCAAAATAAGTCAAGAGAAAGACAAATATCGTATGATTTTACTCATACGTGGAATTTAAGAAACAAAACAAATGAGCAAAGGGAAGAAAGAGTGAGAGACAAACCAAGAAATAGACTCTTAACTATAGAGAACATGCTGATGGTTACCAGAGGTGGAGGGGGGGGGAATGGGTAAAATGGGTGATGGTGATTAAGGAGGGCACTTGGGATGAGCACCAGGTGTTGTATGGAAGTATATATTGTGTACCAGGGACTAGTATTATACTATACGCAACCTAATTGGAATTTAAATAAAAAAGAAAATATATGTATTTGGTCTTCATCCTGGCTCCTGGCCAGAGTTCCTAAAACCCTTATAATTTCCTAAGTGTTAAGAACAATTTGATGTTATTCATAACGAGGCCCTTTCACCTATACCTAAGTTAGTGTCAGTGAAATGATTTCTGGAAAGCTTCTAGATAACCACAGGATGGCAGACAGTCGCCAGTGGAACCTACCATGTCATTTGAGCATTGGAACTTCCAAGGGCTGTGACTGAGTCCAATCACCAATGGTCAATGACTTAATTGATCACTCCTATGTCATGCTGCCTCCATAAAAATCGTAACCAAAGGGGTTCAGAGAGCTCCTGGCTTGGTAAACATTTCCATGTGCCAGGAGAATGGCACACTCCCAACTCCACAAGGACAGAAGCTCCAGCATCCAGGACCCTTCCAGATCTCACCCTATGTACGTCATCTGCTGTTCAACTGTATCCTTTACCATATCCTTTCTTATATTATAAACCAGTAAACATAAGTGTTTTCCAAAGTTCTGTGAGCCATTATAGCAAATTATTAAACCTGAGGAGGGTACTATGGGAAACCCTGATTAGTAGCCAAACTCAACAAAAGGGTGCAGAACCTAGGAACCTACTACTTGTGATTGGCATTCAAAGAGAGGGCAGATCTTGCGAGACTAAGCCCTTAATCTGTGGGATCTGACCCTAATTCCACGCAGACAGTGTCAGAATTCAACTTAATGGTGGGTCAGCCAGCTACTGTCAGAGAACTGATTGATGTGGAAAAACACCTACATATTTGATGTCCAAGTATTCAATGTGTAGAGGAAGTTTTTCCTTTTCAACAGGTCTCTATTATTTGATTCTCACTTCAATTTAATTCAATTTATAATTTGATACTGACTCAGTAAACAGTGGCCAAGACGGCCAGTTGACAGTCACTAACTATCCTGGTAATGTATTACCATATTCTAACACTATCAATCTTAAAAAGCTCTCAATAACACATAACTATATTAAAATGTTTATTTTTGAAATAAGGTAACAGACAATTTATTTTAAAGTGTTAGCCTAACTGGTCTCTACATCAGAGCCTAAAATCCTGCATGGAAATGCTATGATTCTGTTGAAAAATGTTATTCACTTTTAAACTTGTCAAAACAGGGGTGCCTGGGTGGCTCAGTCATTAAGCATCTGCCTTCGGCTCAGGTCATGATCCCAGGGTCCTGGGATCGAGCCCCGCATCAGGCTCCCTGCTCTGCAGGAAGCTTGCTTCTCCCTCTCCCACTCCCCCTGCTTATGTACCCTCTCTCACTGTGTCTCTCTGTCAAATAAATAAATAAAATCTTTTTAAAAAATAAATAAAATAAACTTGTCAAAACAAATACAACAAAAATATTTGACTCCTTAAGTGATCTTTTATCAAAAACAAGATTATATAAAGAAAATCTTAAGTTAAAATTTACGGTTACAATTATATAAAATACTTCTTTTATAATGATGTAAGATAGACATAAATCCAAAGAAAACTAGAAAAGGACAGAAGTGAAAGATGTACTTTTAGGTTATAAGACATTTTCAATGAAATGGCTAGTTTTTTTTTTAAATCAAAACACGTATTTCAGAAATGAAGTTACAAAGTGCAAATATGTAACCTAGCACTTAACTGGTTTCTCCCTGATTTTATACTCTTATGCAAATAATAAAACTAAGTACTGAAAAAGTACATGGATTAATGCCAAATGTTAGCTTCCCCTTTCATTTCTTACACTGCAGTTGGAAGAATTCCACTCAAACGGCATGAGAACCTTTAAGTAAAATTTTTATTTAAATAAAATAATGCTTGGTATTTTTCCTCTTTTTAACTATTACTCCTATAGGAGTAATAGGAGTGTAACACCATCAGCTTACAAAATGCCTCCTAAATTGGGAAAGAATTTTAGTTCTCAATACAAGCTTGTAATTTAACTCAGTAAGAAACTATAACACTCAGTAGCATGACGAGAAAGTCTCAAAAATTTTAAAGTACACCTCCAGAGATATTTAGGTTAAGCATTGTTCCAGGCATTACACATACAACAATGAACAAAACAAAGTTCCAGCACTCAGAATTTATATTCTGCAGTAGGAGGAGACAGAAGATAAGATAATTTTAGATAATCAGAGCTATGAGTGCTATAAAGGAAAGAAGGCAAAGAGATACACTGATCAGAAGGCATTTGCACAAGCACCTGAATAAAATGATAGAGCATATACAGACACCTGGGGGAAGAACATTCCAGACAGAGAGAAGTACCAGAATGTGCCTTACTTGTTCAAGGCATAACAAAAGAAGTGTGGCCAGAATGAATAAATCTAAGAAAAGAGCTTCAAGAAGTATGCAGTTAAGATTGTTAACCATAAAGAATTTCAATTTTATCCTAATGAAATGGGAAGCCCTGGACATTTTTTAAGCAAGGGAACAGTAACAATACCTTAATCTGTCACTTAAACTTTAAAATTAGTGTGGCTGCCATGTGGAAAAAGAACTTGACTATAGAGAAAGCAAGAACAGAAGGAAGCAAAGATATCAGTCAGAGGCTACAAGCCTCTACATGCTGAGAAATGATCATGGTGCCTCGAAATACAGTAATACTGGGAGAAATGGTGAATAAGAAGTTGTATTTACAAGCTTTTGGAGGCAGATTTTGCTGACAGACTTGAAATGTGCAATGGGGAGAAGTAAAGAATCAAGGCTGATTTATACTTCTCTATAGGGCCATCAACCCAGGAGAGAATGAGACCATCACACAGTTTAAAACAAACAAAACCAAAAAACCCTACTATGCTTGAAATGCAGATGCAAATATATCTGGAAGTCATGCTTTTCTATTACACAGACAAAATACATGTCTGGCACACTGTAAATGTCCTCTCATCATAAGAAGTTTGTGATGAGACCCACATGCATAATGGCACAAGCAGTGCAGAGAATTATTCCAACTGTTCAATTGTCAATATAAAGGACAGACTACCAAATGAAATCCTGTAGCTCAACAGCCCTATAGCAAGTGGTTCAACATACTCACCATTCTAAAGAGATCACTGTCTGGGTGGTCCAGGTAATTCAGAAACTATGTAAGTTGAAAGTGTGCAATGCTTTAGAGGAAGAAGCAATCATTGTGAGATGATACGTATTGCTGAGTCACCATGGGAATCAATGGCAACTCAGTAAGAGGCGACTCTAATTCATGTTAACTCTAGTTCAGCAGACACCCTCAAGTATCTATCAACTCTTTAAGTGTATAACGAAAAGATATTTAACAGTTGCCACTTAGATGTAGAATGTACCCATGAAACGTAAACAGGTCTTTGAATGTTGTCTATCTACAAAACACACACTCTCATACATATATATTGGCACTAACAGGAAGGTTAGAACACCAGTATCCAATCATGGTCCCATCAGTTGGGTAAGACTGTAGGGGTTTCTTTTTCCTTTCCATTCATCTGTCCTTTTCTTTTTCTGCTCTAAATTTGCAGCATTTGCCCAAGAAAAAGTAAATTAATAAGCACAATGAAATGCATTTTGAAAACTTTAGATAAAACCTCAGCATGTATGAGGCATAAAGACAAAATGCTGATGAAGCAACAGCCACATCCATAATAAAGGCAAAACTAACTATTTAAATGTCCACATAGTCGGTAACTGTTTCTAAGATGTAAGACTATGTTTTTAAAGTACTGTGTTACCGGGTGGAGGAAAGGATGGTATTTTATTCCCTACATTTTAAAAATTATGCTGCTAAGGGATATACATTTCTTAAATAATTATTTTCCTTTTACCTGTTTTCTCTCTTTAGGATTGAGAAGTAAGTACCGAGGATCAAAAACTATCTTGTGCAACTCCTTCTCCCATGTTGAAAAAGCAGACACCTTTAAAATAAAAATGTATTGCCTCATAATTAAGTTGGCTCTAAAAACATAAAGGTCATATAATTTTCCTTGAAATCTACAGGACATCTGCTTAAAAAGGAGACATAATAAAAACCATACTGAAGTTTCCATCACTAATAAATGACAAGCAGTGGGAGGCTAGCAACAGCAAATTTCCACACTAATTGGCTCTGAACATTTCTATATTACATAGAAATAACACACACTTAATTAGTCATTAAAATAACCACTACTGTGTGACATTTTAAAAATCAGTACATCAAAAAAAGCCTTGAAGATTTGCATTTTGATTTCCCAGGCTTTCTCCAATCTCGTGAACAATGTTGTGATTTTAAAATGAACAAATATACTTATTCAAATGAATATGTGAATATGTGAACCAAAAGGCTGAAACCCCTCTCAATTAAGCTTTATTAATAATATCATAAAGTACCAGTTCTCCTTTAACCAAAACCATTCTGGGAAGTATTAAAGAATTATATATGCCTTACCTATCCCACGTAGTCCGCCATTCTGTAATGTTAATACTCTGTTAATACTCATCTTATATTACTCACCAAAATGTAATGACCCAATAAATGTTAAATGTTATTTGTATTTAAAAGGATAGTAAAATGGCATTTAGTTAAACATGATAGGATGGGCCAAGAAAAAGGCTGTTTGAGAGAGTACAGTAATTTGATAGGCTTCCCTTATCCCCCCCCCGACAACATGAGCACTAACCTTAGACTTGACCTTTTAGCAAGACATATTTATATTACTTATACAAAACAGAAATATCTCCCCCAAAGATTGTTTTCTGACCCCTCTCTCTAGCAGCATGTCCTTGAACTGCTTCATTCTGGCCTCCAGAGGGACAATGGCCCTTTCTCGGGCAGCTTTAATTTCAGCTTCCATCGCAGCTTCTTTCTCTGAATCAATGTCTTTATTATCGTCTCTCCTATAGAAAAAATAAAATATAAGGCATCAACTGACAAAATATTAATAAGGAATCTTACTAAAATCTTTACATCAATGGAATATTCAAGACTCACTACTGAGCAGCATATTTTTGGCAAAAAAAATTATATTGAGGGTTTCAAATGAACTCTAAGGGATAAGCAACTTCCATTATAATAATAATAATAAAGTTACAATGAGCTTCTAATGATGTTACAATGGCTATATTGTTGTGCTGTCTCTCGCCCTGATACACAGAATAAACTATCTTACTTTCAAAAACAAAAACAAAAAACTAACATTGCAGTAAAACTCTATGTGTTAGAAACAAACAGCACAAAATGTAATTTTTAGTTCTTGAAATGATATAGTATTTTCCAAAATGTTTTACATTATAGATGCATAAAATATTTCTTAATCTAATAAAAATTGGATAAGTCTTAGTAATCTCAAATATTCATTTTGAAAATAAAATGAAAATATCTGCAAACTTGGCCATTTGGGTATGTGAGATATATACCTTACCTACCTGACATCTTTTTTACTCACTTTCTGGGTGGTAAGTTGAGATTTAAGTTGAAGGACAGGTCCCAGAGAGCAACATAGGCCCAGGAGTAGTTAGATGGAATTACAACTGTTCACCAATGACTAAACTACTTCTTTTTCCTCAAAAAATGCACCTCAGGGCTAAGGACAATGTTGCTGTTGCTCTCACTCAAGTGAGATTGTAAACATGAAATAGAGTCACCTCTCAAACATCTGCACTATGAAGAAGGCCCGTTCATGTGAATAATCCAAAACAGTAAGTAATTCAATAATATTCGGGTGTGTCTGAGCAGATCTTCCTTCTTAAATATGATCTGCTAAGTATAAAAATAAAATTGGTTCATATTCCCTACACAAACTTAAGGGAATCAGGAAAACAAAACATCATCAATTTCAAAAGCATGCTATATAGGGAAGTGAAGGTAGCCCAGCAGATTTAAATGGAACTAAGGCTAACCCACATATACATGTTAAGTGAGAGGTAATTAGCAACTTAGAGAATGAATCAAAAGAAATAGAAGACATAGTCCGTGACCTGCAGGAACTTAGCGAGATAGTCTGTGACCTAAGATATGCACAAAACAAACAGGTAAAAGTAATTTGCCAAACAATATACCCTCTTATAATAATTTATTTAAGAACTATTTAAATAAAGAATTAAGACATCCAAGAAATATAACTAATGAAAACAAATAACCTTTACAGAATTACACTAAATGGAAATGTCACAATACAAACTATCACTATCTATCTCAATAAAAGAAATAAAGAAAAACTAAGCCAGGAAAAATAGGCTTTTAACTTTGTACCTAAATAGAGAAGCTCGGGCAATCCACATAAAGGACTTCTTTGACATTCTCCTGATAAAAGCAGTTAAAAACCTTACAGAGTTGTCTATAAGAACAAACAATTAAAAACAACCTAAAAGTTTAACATTGTAGGAACATCCAAAATTATGGTTATATAAACAGAATGAATACAGTCATTTATAACTATTAAGAAAACAAATGTCTTATTCTACATTTTATTTAAGGACTCAAAATCAGTTGATTACAACTAATATTTACATATTTGGTCAAGAACTAAAAAGTCAACTGCAAAAATGAAAACAGCTATGTTACTTCGGTTGATTATGAGTGACTCTCTTTAATATCTTAATTTAACATTGTTGTTAACGATTTTTTAAAAAGAACCACCCTTCCAAGGGGCTGTCTTACTGATTTCTTTGCCATAATTTGGCTGCATTCAATCTGTCCTTTTTAGATAAGGACTACGGTTCATCCAGTTCCTAATAATGTCGTCAAACTTTCCTTTTTGCTGCTAAATAATGGTCCCATTCCTCCTCCACCCACACACAAATACCGTCTACCCAAGCCTTTCATCCCCCATAATTAGAAACATTCATATTTTACCCAATTACAGAGCACTGGCCAACCTAATGCTCCTGCTTATGGCAATCTCTTTCTCCCAAAGCATTTTCTAAGCTCACAGGTTCCCTCTTCACCAGGTAGTAATGACACAGACTCAAGGACTGGCTAAGTGACAAGTACATAAAAAGAGAGAGAAGTCTGTGTGTCTATATTTATGAAATTTCTGGAATGGTGTCTGTTGGGGGTCTACATTAAGGAGGACATTCATTTTTTTATAAAATTCAGGCTTAATGAATGTCTGAAAATAATTTATCATCTAATTCCTAAAATGTCACTTGTCTTTATAATACTTTTTTAAGTAATCAAGTATTGAAGTAATCAAGTATTCTGCACATCTAGCAACAGAAGGGACACCATTTCTACATTCTAAAGAAAAGTTTTCTAATATTAGGCCTTAGCAAATCAAGACTTCTGTCTCCTAAAATACACATTACCTGTCCCAACCACAAACTGACTGGGACCTAATAACTTTTAAAATAGTATTATAATCTACCTGAATTACATGAACTATAAGTATTACTTACTTCCGTTTTTTGGCTTTAACAGGTTCATCTTCATTAAGTTCTTCCATTAATTCTTGTTCTTCTTTAACTGTAAGATCAAATTTAATTAAACCTTGTCAGAATAAAATTCAGCAAGCAACAATTTAAACATTTAAGTCTGAATCCTTCTAGCAACTACCAGAACACTTGCTTTAATAGTATTAAAAAGTAGCTACATGGGCGCCTGGGTGGCTCAGTCAGTAGTTAAGCATCTGCCTTCGGCTCAGGTCATGATCCCAGGGTCCTGGGAATGAGTCCCGCATTGGGCTCCCTGCTCAGTGGGGTGCCTGCTTCTCCCTCTCCTCCCCACTCATGCTATCTCTCCCTCTCTCCCAAGTAAATAAATAAAATGTTAAAAAAAAAAAAAAAGGTAACTACAATCTATAGTTTACTCACTTGCACTCATAGAGAATTGCCATTTTTGGATGGACAGCATTGTGGGGGTCGGGTGTCCTGGCAAAAATACATCAAATATTATTATGAATAGTTACATGCACATATTACACAATATTTTCTTTTTTAAAAAGTTACTGTTTATATAAAATACCCATCCCATAATACTCTCTCCTTTATAAAATATTAAACAATTCTAAACTTCCTAAATTAATCTTCCCTTTAAATTTCTAATTCACTTTGAAATGTTTATTCATGAGACATGTATTTATCAAATAACTGAATTGAATATTTGAAAACAGTCATAAAAACAAAAGCAAATCTCATACTTCCTTGGCATAATTCAACACTAGGATTATAAAGTATCATCAATATCACAGCTATAAAACAGATACTGCTGAAGGGGAAAATGGTGCCTCGTGACTTTACCACTAGGCAGGCAAAGTTTCACTGATTTGCAAATGACTTACAAGCAAAAAATGTAGCACCACATATATATAACCCATAAAGATTGCTCAATTATTAGGACATATATTTGGATTGATTTCATTGGAAGTATTAGGTGATTCATTTATGCTGCTACAGCACACGGGGGGGTTCTATAAAAACACAATCATGTCAATATGAGGGCAAATTACCAATAAAAAATATGCAATAAAAATTATGTAAAAATATCTGTGTCCATTATATCTACTAAAATGCTGTCTGAACACAAGGTACCTTAAAAGATAATCTTTTTTTTTTTTTTTAAAGATTTTATTTATTCACTCGAGACACAGGGATACAGAGAGAGAGAGAGAGAGAGCACGAGCCGGGGGAGAGGCAGAGAAAGAAGCAGGCTCCCCGCTGAGCCAGGAGCCGGACGTGGGGCTCGATCCCAGAACCCTGGGATCACGATCCGAGCCGAAGGCAGATGCTTAACCATCTGAGCCACCCAGGTACCCCAAAAGATAATCTCTTAATAAAGTTTGTCTCTCTATTGTCAGGAATAAGGCTTTTATTCCCTAAATTTCATCTACTTGAAAAGAGTAAGCTTTTGGGGCGACCGGGTGGCACAGTCAGTTAAGTGTCCAACTCTTGATTTCAGCTCAGGTCATGATCTTGGGGTCATGAGATTGAGCCCTGTGTTGGGCTCTGCACTCAATAGGGAATCTGCTTGGGATTCTCTTTCTCCTCTCTCTGCCCCTCCCACCGCCACCCCCCACCCCGCACTGCATACACACTCTCTCTGTCTCTAATATAAATAAATCTTTAAAAGAGTAAGCTTTTATAACTTTACAAAATTTTGTATTTTATAAAAATTTAGTAAACAATATTTTTAAAATACTCTGTACAGTTCTGATTATTCAAAAAATATATTACTAGTTATAAAAAGTGCTGAGACACTCACTGAGGAGTGTGTTCATATTTTAAGTAAGCACAGAGCAAACGTTAAGCAGAACCAACATAACCTGGACTAACTAAAAATCTTGACAAGGACAGTAAGTTAAAAAAAAAAAATACATGTAAATATTTTACAAAGAAATAATTGCCCAAACTTTCTAATTTTTAGTATCTCTACTACTGAACTCAAGCTAGCATAACGGTCTATTTCCCATTTCTCAATTTCTTATATTCCTTGAAAACAGCAAGTTTTCTTCCTAAGTGGCCTCAAATTTTCTGTAAAAATATTAAAAGAATAATAAAATTAGAGGATAAATTCCTAATTTAAAACTTACTTAGTTTCTTCACTTCTTCCATTCCTTTTTTATGAGGAGGCTCCTGAATAATTTTGTCAACATCTGCCCTTCCAATCAGATCATCAGGTCGGTCCCACATAGAAAGACGGGTGGTAGGATTATAAAAGAAGACCCGCTCATCACCAGTCCAAACAACACACCTACGAATTGATTCAAATATCAGTTTCTTCTGTTATGGAACATATTTGATAGGTAAGTCTTTTACTGACATCCTGCCTAAAGGAGAGGTGGAGGGGTGGTGAGGACACCTTCGTATTTAATAATAGTTACAGAGCCAAATACAATTTCTGGAGGAGAGAGCTGAGTGGCTAAGATTAGAACAGCAGTTCAATATTTTAATGGAGAAAAACCAAGAAAAGCAAAGTAATTCATAATCAGTGGTTAGAGTGCTCAAGAACTTGGTGTAGCTGGCTCAGTCTGAGAGTGTTATATTTTAAGCTATCACAAAGGATGAATTCAATGGCAACAAATAAGAATGCTATTTAGCAGTTCTAAAACTAAAGAAAAGACCACAGCACAATACCTATTATGTAATACTTCTTAGTATTTCTTACCAAATCAGAATTTTACATACTCAAATGCAACCTGCTATGAAGTCTTTAATATCTTACTATATCTGGTATAAAAAGTAAGAACTATTGATTGCACTATGACACCCGAGCCCACTAGAGCTCATTGTTCCTGTTCATTACAAGAAATTCAGACAAAATAGAAAAAACGAGAATGTAAGGACTGTGTACAGTTTTTAAAAAATAAATATAAGTATGGAAGAGAGTTAATATTTACAGCAGCAATTGCGAGGGTGTAAATTTCCCATTTTTCCTCCCATACACCTCTGCCCTAAGGGCCCCCAGTCACACGGTACATGATGGTGGCAGCACAGGCAGTGAAAACTCCCAATAGAAACCAGGTACTTATGGCAAGATAATGACAAGTCCATCAACAGCTGCCAAGCCAAGCTGATCTAGATGTTGAAAATATCAGATAAAACCTCTATTGTTGAGAAAATCGAAGACTTTAAGGCAGCAATTATAACTAGAGTTCATGAGACGAAGAAAAAAAAACTTGAAATGAAAACACAGTTCTCATTAGAGAAATAGAAACTGCAAAAAAACAAAACCAAAAACTTTAGATGAAAAACACACAACTGAAGCAAAGGAAAAAAAAAAAAAAGGGAGACAAGCCAAGAAACGACTCTTAACTACAGAGAGCAAACTGGTGGTTACCAGAGGGGAGGTGGGTAGGGGGATCGGGATTAAGGAGTACATTTGTCGCAAGCACCGGGTAATGTATGGACGTGCTGAACCACTATATTGTACACCTGAAACAATATCATACATTAAAATAAAATTAAGGGGCGCCTGGGTGG